TGGACTTCATCGGTGCTGCGTCCCCAGGCACGTGGTTCACAATCGAAGTGTCCACACACCCTCTCACTTGCAGCGCAGCTCACAGCAGGATTCGCGTCACCCCCTCCTCCCACACCCTCACCCCAGTTCGAGGTAACTTCTGCCCCCAAACCCTCTAGTGCGACAACCTCAGCCCTCACTTTCATGCCATATGACGCGGAGCTAGTGTGACCAGCTCGAAAATTCACGAGTTGATGATGAGGTGTTAGTAAGTTTCCCATCGGTAATGACATTACCGATTTGACAACTGACTAGGATTTACCAGGGGTATTCCAAGGTTTACTCTATTTTGCAGCTATCACTGGCGTGGTTTGCTTAAAAAGATAACGACTCGGCGTTGCCATGATTCCACTCGAATCAGAAGTAAGGTGAACGAGTAAAAATTAAGGAGAAATTTCCACTGATTTAAGGGGACGTAGACTTACGTCGGCTAAAGTGCTAAACTCGGAGACAACTTTTGAAATTGTTGACATAGACAGCCTTTTTATTTGCTAATGGGGGTAAAGCAAGGCATTCCATTGTAGTTTTATTTCTGCTTATGAAAAAATTGTTTTTCCTCAGATATTGAGCTCAACGCTCATGCTGAGAGAAAAAACTGTCTATTTCTATCGCCGAAAAAAGTCTTGCACGAAACGGCTGGATTTTACTCCGAAATGAATATATTTTAGCTTCTGCGACTTTCAAGTTAAAGCCACAAGAGTACAGGATCTGAAGGGCGACTTCTAGGGAGTGTTTGGTATTCAGACCCTTTTTAAAAAGAAAGTTAAAAGTCCTTTTATGCCGGTAAGAGGCCTCAATAAACTTTTAGGGACGTGATTCATAACAAATGTTTAAATTCTTCCATTACGGTCACAGGTCTCAGTATAGCCCACGCCCTGGATAGTAAAGCCCCCACGGCACTAGCATGGGGCTAGCTACTATAAACATTTGGCTTAACCGAGCCTGCTCAGAGTGCACTTGATGCA